ACCACGCGCATGCCTCGCGGCGGATATGCGCAGCAGCAAGAAGGTTTCGGTCATCCCTTGAGGGTGAGTCTAGCCCTGCTCGCCAGAAAGACCCCCCCCTTCACTACAACCCATGTCTAAGCAAAAGCTTGTCGAGGAGCGAGGGGAAGAAGGGAGAATACTGGACGACATTCTCGAAAATAAATAACAAAAAAATATTAGGTGTCTTGACTATGTGCGGAACACTGAAAGTCAAGCGAATGGCTTTCCCGTCTGGTTTGCCCCCATAACGCTGAACGTGATTCTAGTTTCGAACGGGCCGGGGCGCTTTCATCACGGTTGGCCGGTTTGCCCACGCCTGTGAACGGTGCAGGTGCTGCTGTACCGATTACACGGTATTTTCCAAACCGGACAAGGCACTACATGTATCAGGGTGGCTACTACTGATACATATGCGCAACCCTCGGTAGAAATTGCTCTCCTCGTATAAGCCCGTAGCCTACAGGCCGGTTGCTCCATACACACTGGTAGGCGTGACACGTGATGTCGACCAGGGATTCTTGGCCAATCTGAAAAAAGATAAAAAATCTCCTTTCAAAATAAGTTTACCAATCAGAAAACTGCGGGCACCTGTTCTCTCTCTCTCTTACGCGCATCTGATTCTCTTAAAAGACGCGTAACTAACGGCGTTCGTTGTTGTCAGAAGGGCGAACTTTACGGAGGAGGCGATTCTGCTGGAAAAACATCATTAGGGGCATTCACAGAAACAGGAATCCTACATCTACAATAAATCATTACCCATTTTACAGTACCTTACTTTTCCTCTGAAGGTACCAAGCCACGGGCTGGCATGACATGTTCCTCTCCTCGGACCTAAGGGATAGGGTCGGCGTTTATTGAACCACAAGAGCATCACCCAAAGAAGTTATGATATCCACAACAACGTACGTATGTACATACGTACAGTTGTGACTGAGGACTGAAGGACGCTAGTTGTGTAAATCAGGGAGGCAATTCAACGGGCTTGTCTTTACGGACGCGGCGAACTTCGTCGTAGACTAAGTGCACTCCATAATCGGGGCAAACGGAGGGTTATAAGAAGAAGCAAAAAACACACCATGTCGACCACACGAGTCCCCTCGCACGGGTGGAAGTGTGGCGTACCACATTAGGCCTGTTAGTTGTACGTTCAAGACTTTGAGGGGGATCTACAATCGGATACCCTGTATGCTCTTGTCTTGTCAAGCTAAAAAATGCCACGATAAAAAAAAAAAAGCCGCAAAAACCGATAACAGTCCGAAAGAGACACGTGTTGCGCAAAGGAAGGCAAGTCGATCAGACGACCGCCCTCCCGCCTCGGCAGCATCAGACTTCTCAGACTTCAGCAGCCGCTTCGGTACTGCCGCCACTACTGCTGTGATCACCGCCTGCTGCCGCTTCCGCTTCTTCGGTGGCTACGGCTTGACCGTCATTCGGGCTGATGTCGGCGGATGCGGATGCGCCGGAAGTAGCAGCTGCTGCTGCTGTTGCCGTGCCCTTGACAAAGCTCTAGGAAAAGCAAAAGCGTGGGCGATACCGAGGGCCGTGTAGGGGAGGGGTCCAGTGTTCAATAGAGTCGGCAGGCCGCCCTTCGAGGCGTTCCAATCGAATGCATTGGTCCCACAAACTCCCACGGAACACACTTCGGTGAACAAACCACGATGTGCTTACAGACAAAAAACAAATCGTGGCGCCACACAGGTTACGGTGAACGCACTTCATGCTGGCAAACAGCCGAGAGCTGTAAGTGTGTACACCTGTATCAACAACGAAACGACCTTTGAACGGACGACGACAAAGAGGGCATGTGGTGCGCACATACATACGCACGTTCTGCTTCGCCACGGGGCCCCCTCCCAACGCCTGGCGCAGGAGGTCGCCCCGCTTCCCCTTCATGGTGTGCTGGTGAAGCGCGGCGAGCAGCTTGTCCAGCCTCGCCAAGCCTCTAGCAGACTTCGATGTGTTGTTGCGGCCAGGAACCTGTGGGCACCGTTTCGCGGAACAGAGAACTTTCCGAGATGACGACGTGGATCGAACTCCCTTCCACGCGAGGGGGTTTGTAAAGCTGGAATTTCTTGAGATGGATGCATCAAAAAAAAAAAAAAAACGAGCTCAACGTCGGCAAGATGGCAATAATCAACTCGTCCATTCGTTGACACAAGCCAATTTTTCACAGCAGTCGTCGTGATTGTCTTCATTTTCCCATAACCTTGGTCATCATCTTCTCCGACACCCTTGAATGATGGTTTGGAGTGGGGGAAATCGATTCACCTCGGGCCTGGAAGCGGCAGCCATAAATCTGTCCGTTGCGGCCGCCCAGCTAAGCTTGTGCCTAAAAGAGGAGAAAGTAATCAGAGGGAGAGTACGGAGGCAAGCGACGACATCAAATTACTTGTTTCTGGCGCATTGGGCTTGACGGGTAGCGGTCGAAGCAAAGAAAAAACAAAGGTACGACAGCGTCAAACAACAGCAGTAACGATAATTTCGCAGCAGAGCAGCAGCAGCAGGATAAGCTTGCACCAGCAGTAGCAGCAGCAGCAGGCCACGCAACACACCGCGAGGAAAAAAAGGCGCACCTTCGCTTCTGTAGAGCAGCAACGGCAGCAGCAGCAAGCGTCACAACACAAAGCGCGAGAAAAAACAAACGCTGCGAACTTCACCCTACACAGTAGAGTAGACACAGCAGCAGCAACAGCAGCAACAGCAACCGCGGCAAAACACACAAAAAGAGGGGGCGCATCTTCACCTCGTCACTTCGGACAGTCTCGGGGGTGTTCCAGACAACGCCTTCTGCATGCACGAGAGAAATTCCTGCTCGTCGGAGAAGGATAGACACGTCTCAAAGTTGCTGAAGAAAAACTCGTTCGAAGGGTGCCTGGCGCAGACGACCCACTTCCCCATCGCCAGGGCCTCCGCGATCGTGGTGCACAAGACCTCGCTCTGGCTGGGGTTAACGAAGACCTAAACACAGCAGCCGGGTGGTGCAGTTAGGGGGGGGGGGGTACTCATTGGCGTGTATGCCATGGTCGTTAGACCAGTACTGAGACCGTTGACCTCGCATCCCTACAAAGCCCGGACGGAGCAAGCCGGGTTCTCACCGGACCAGGCTATCACATCACCAAGCGCGAAGCGCCGTGAGATATTTGGCGAGTCGCATGAAGGGTGCGCTGCATCCTGCAAAGGGTGTTCGGCATCTTGTGCTTGCTTCCTTGCGTACGGATGACAGCTGTGTATGAATTACTTTATTTTCTGGTGCTTTCACTTCCAGAGACAGTTGTAAGCCTTGTGTAACTGCCTCGAGGGTGCTTGACCATTTTAACACAACGTGGTGCGATTATCCCCCTTGCGTGGAGTGAGGGTTGTCGGCCCCGCACAACATGATCCACTCGACCACCATTCATGGTCACCGCAAAAAATTAAAGACCAAAGGCAAAAAAAAAAAAGCGGTAACCTGGTTGCCGAGCTCACGAAGTGAAATGGCTTGATTTACAACGGTGTTACCAAGCGACGAAACCCCAGTCCGGATGGCAAACACCGAGGTGCAGTTAGGGGGGGGGGGCAGAAGTCTGTTCATGACTGCTTTAGACAGACACCGGAGGTTCGAACACCTAGGGCCTGGGTTGAGGCTGCCTATAGGGTCTACTAGCAAAGTAAGGGCTTCATGTTGTGAGTTTTTCATTCCACGTGCTTTGGCCACACAATAACATCAGCCGAAGCAAGAGGAATAAGTATCATCACCTTGTAGTTCCCGAGCTCGGCGTGGTCGATCGCATCTTGGAAGCTAACCGGAAGGTCCATCTCCTGGACTTTTTCTTTCACCTGAGACGGGTGGGGGCGACCAACCAATTGCAACATGCGGAGTTACTAACTGCCCATTCGTTGGAACAAAACTTTACCACTCTAAATTGGTTGCAACAGCATCGACGCAAGACACTACATGGTGGTTGCTGCGACGCTTGGACAAAGCTGTCGTGGACGTTGTCAAACTCGTAGTCCCTCATCGGGGTATGCAACCGTACTCGTTTGATACTTCCAAAAGAAATTTGGCCATACATCTCTATCATCGCTTTGGAAACGAGGCATCCTTCGACTCCTGAGGGACATGCCACAAGGGTATGGAACGATGCTCGCGAATGATGACTAGGTCATGCTAGGACGCATCGGGACGCAGAAGCGAAACGTCAGGAAGCACTGGAATCACCACAGACGGATTAATCATCGATGTTCGAACAGACGCGGGATACAGACAAAATAACAGGCACACGAAAAAGGTTTGTTTACGCTTGGGAGGCGTCAACCGTCAAAAGAATAAAAAAAACACAGCGAACTCCAATAACCCCCCCCCCAACAAACCCAAATATAGCCCCCATAGTATGCGCTACCAAAGACGCGTGACGCATGGATGCGTGGAGTGAAGATTGCTTGCGGAAACCTCACAGGTTGAGTGATGTAGGAGATTGCCGGACACATAGACGTGTTGAGTGATTATAGCTG